GAATTGGGTAGCGAATTTTCTGATGTGTGGCAGAGGTGATGGCGTTGATTTTGCCAATCCATGGTCTGCCCAGGATGCCATTGTAGGGTGAGACTTCATCAATGACCATGAATGTTTGTGAGCTTATTACAGGTGGGGAATGGACGTCAAGGTCTATTGTGCCCACGGTAACTGTTGTTGCACCATTAAAGCCAGTCAACGATCTGGCTATTTTGTTGATCTTTGCTTCCAAGCCCATCTGTTGAATGACTGCCAGTTGCAAGATATTAGCTGCGCTGCCCTCGTCTGCATGGATTCGGTCGACCATGGCTTGAGCGACTTGAATGCTAATAACAAGGGCGTCGTTATGTGGCATGTCGAGACCGATCAGGTCTTTCTTCTGGAAGCCGATCACAGGGCCGTCTTCTGCTGGTAGAAGGTCGGTCGTGATTTGGGAGATCATAGTGGCCTGTTTGATTTTCCTTTTCTTTTCTTTGCTTGTCAATCCAGACTCCTCAGAGTCGGCCAGGATTGTGTTAATTCTTATGACTTTCTGAGGTGGTTCCTTGGCGGTGTCACGGTCTTCAATTTGCTGGATGGCCTGCTTTGCAATGAATTCCGTGCAGTGACCTTCTCTCACTAGTTCTTCAAGATGCGTCTTCCAGGCAAAGCAGTTGTTTGTAGTGTGCCCGTTCGTCCCATGAAAGGCACAGTATTTCCTGGCATCCCTCTTATCTGGATCTCCTCTCAAGGGTGGTGGTCTTTTTACCCACGGTTTGTCTTTCACTTGGGCTAAGATTTGATGTATGGGGATGGAGAACTTTGTGTAGTTCTCTCCTGCCATAGCGTCCCCTTGTGGGTGTGACCTGCGTTTGTCCTTGTTTTTGTTGCTAAACCCTTCGCTCCTTTGGCCTGCCCTCTTAGACGGCTGGTCTTCCTGCTTAGTAGACTTCTTTGCGGCGATTCGATCATCATCCCAAAGCGCATAGCGTTCCGCGGTCGCGAAGACCTCTGCCAGAGTTTGGCTGGGAGCGATAGTCAGCTCGCGGTATAAGTCGTGTTCAACTGGAAGGCCTTTCTTGAAAGCAGAGGACGCGATTCGGTCGTCACACCCCACAATGTTGGCCTTTTCTGCTTTAAATCTTTTGATGTAGTCTCGAAGGGATTCGTCGGACTTCTTGCGTAGGTTGAACAGATGGTCCGGGTTCTTCTTAATCATCCGGTAAGAGATGTATTCTTTGGTGAAGACGTAAGCCAGCTCCTTGAAGCTGCTGATTGACCCGGATGGTAGAGTGTGGAACCAGTCTTGGGCTGCTCCTCGCAAGGTCATTACAAACGCCTTGCACATCAATGCGTCGTCGGTCTTGTGAAGGATCATGACATTTTTGAAGTATTTTAGGTGACTTTCGGGATCGGAGTCCCCTTTGAAGTGGGTAAACGAAGGCGTCGAGAATCGCTTCGGGGGAGCAGCCTGCTCAATCTCGGCAGTGAAAGGCGTAGAATTTGCCTGGTCTATCTCCTGGCGTAGTGCATCTTCGAAGTTCCCGCCAGTCCTCAAGTCTCGAAGTCGGTCATTCACAAGCTTCTCAACGTCTTCCGCACGCATTGCTAGTTGGTTATGTTGGCGACCTTCGCGATTTAGGCGACGCTGATTAACTTCCTCATTGACTCGCAAGGTTCGATTTTCTCAGCTGTGTTGCCTGGGCGGCGTATTGGTGGACTGCGCCTGCGAAGGGTTCTCTGCAACTTGTCGATGAGAACCGACTCTTCGAGACTGAGCGACGGAGCGCCTTTCCTCGTGATCCACATTGCGAAAGTTATCAGGTTGACGTCCCTGGGAGCCTAGCCTTTCATGAATGTTCCTCTGTGAGTGGTCAGCGGAGCGCCTCTCTTCACGGTCCACATTGCGATGGGTGTCAGGTTGACGTCCCTGGGAGCTTAACCTTTGAAGAACATTTCCCTGCGGGCCCAGTCGGGCGCGGATGTCAGGTTGTGGGCCCAACCTTTCACGCACATTGCTCTGAGTGTGGCTTGCGGATGCTTGTGACATGTTGGCAAACTGATCACGTTGTTGTCCCTCTCCTTGTCTGCTTGCTCCTGCTCGACCTGCTTGGTACCCATCGAGCTGCCTATCGGCGCGTTCGTCAATCCTTCTCTCTTCGCCCAGTTGTCCAAGGCCAAGATTTTGAACCAGATTGATTTGGTTGAGGAGCTGCCTCATCAAATTACTTTGGTCGTCCATTCTCTGGGCTAGTTGGTCAACTCTCAGATTGAGGTCTGCTTGACTTCGTGGATCGGGAGGAGAGAAGTGTGTGGAGCCCAACTGCATACGGGCTAGG